AACTGGGATTCTTTGGGCAAAGATAGGTAGCTCCGATATTTAAATTTTTTTTTTTTTTTTAAATCATTTAAACTCATTACAGAAGAGGGGAAGCAGCAGATGCGTGTTACAAACCGGGATGCCTCTCTCCCCAGCCTTCCCCCTGCAGCCCCCCCTCTTGAAAACAGGGGATGGCTTTACAATTAAAAAAATAATAAACGAACAAACAAAAAACCCCAAACAAAGAACTGATGACTAGTTACATATGGTTTTGCACATATGTACATAGAACACACGGCTGGTCCGCAACACCCGCCAGAAAGCCTGGCTCTCTCCCAGGGTCTATTTCCAAGGAAGGGCTGGGGCGGGGGGTCCTGCCCTCTCCCCCTTCCCGGCTGCCTCTCAAACCCACCCACTGCACCCTCTCCAAATCCATCCCTGAGACCCCACTGCCGGCACCCAGGCATCGCAGCCCTGGCTGGGTGGCACTTGCAGCTGTGCCTCCCCCAAATTCTTCCCCCTTTACAAACCCAGACCCAAGTTCTGCGTGCCTACCCCTCCCCTGCCTGAGTGCTGCTGGCTGGAGGGTTACCCAGCAGTGACAGCCCACCGCTGCGGCCCCTTCCCCTGCCCGCAGCCTCCCTGGGGAGGCAGGACCCTTCTGAGGTGCCTTGGCTTCCTCTGGCCCCCAGGAGCTCTGCAGGGATGTGCCCCCGAGCAGGGGAGGCTGCAGCTCTCCCGTGTCAGAGGATACCACGCTGCTACGAGCTTGGAGACCCGGGAAACTCTCAATTAGGAATTGTTGCCTTTTGACAAGATGCTTATAAAATACAGCTCCTTCAATTTGGTTTTTTTTTTTTTGGGTGCAGTGGGATCCTTCTGAAATCACTCAGGAGACGCCGACGACAGCAGCTGCTCACAGCAAAACAGCATCAAGCTCAGGGCAGAGAAGTGGTGATGGGACCGTCACCCCCAGGCATGCTGCCTCCCCAGCCCTTTCCTCTCCAGAAAGACCCCGGCAGCCCAGCGGCACTGGGGCCCCAGCTCCAAACCCCTCATCCATTGCTGTTTCCAGACTGTCTTAAAATGCCCCAGTCACGTTGTGCTGCCAGGTGGGATCTGCTTGGAAAGACCCTGCGGGAGCAGGGGGAGATGAACTTCCCCATCTCCCAGTCTTCTGGCTTCGGGGAGCTGGCACCCCGCGACTGCCCGGGGAGCCGGGGCAGGGCTGCACGGCGTGGGGCTGGGAGAAGTCAGCACACGGGGCACGCGTTCACCTTGGGAAATGGATCAGTATCTGTTTCTTGGGTCCTGAAAATAAAAGAAAAAACAACAAAAAGACAGGCCAGATGGCAGCTTTGGTTAAGGCTGAGGATACGGGAGACAGGGACAAGCATGAGGGACTGCGTGGAAGAAGCTGGGGCTGCGGGGAACCTCCGGCTCTGGCCAGAAGCACCTCTGCTGGCCGCAGCCTGCGGGCAAGCCCTGGGGGTGGCCATGGGGACGAGACGCGGCTGGCTTGGCTCTCTGCCCTAGTGCCAAAACCTCTCCTCCAAAACGCAGGCTCCAGGAGTGGGAGCTGGGGGGAGCCGGAGCGCGGCAGGGCTGGCTCTGCAGGGCTTGCACGTCTCTGCCGGGCAGCGCCAGGGCCCGCTGCAGCCAGCACCGCCAGGGAACCGGCCGCGCCTCT